AGTTCGCACGGAAACCGCGGCAAGAAGACGTCTGGACGTGTTACGCGCGCAAGAAGCAGCATATGAGGCTCAGCAAGCGTTGAGCCGCAAAAAACGAGATGCAGCAAAACAACTTGTGCAAGACATACGTCGCTGCCGTGAGGAAGCAGTTAAACTGCGCTCGGCGAAGAAAAAACAAGCAGAGTTGCTTGTGGAGCAAATTACGTCGATGAGAAATCAGGTGAAGGAGGCACGTGTGTCTGTGCAAAAGGAGAAGCGAAAAACCGGTGAGAATTTGTTTCTGTTGTATACTACCTTGTGAATGATACTCCGCTCACTGGCCCCATTTATCGTGGGAGTTACGTTCCAGATATTGCCCGTATGGTGGAAAATCCGCGACGTAGCGACGTTTGTTTGACTCATTGCACATGATTTAAGGCTCTAAAATCTTGCCCACACCTCAAAACACACTTGACACTCCACTCTCTTGTGCACGCTTCGTTTACAAACTCTACACTCCTAAAAGTTCGTATTTAAAAAAAAGCACGCATAAAATCCCAAATGAGTGCTCATCTCTAAAGTATATGACAACGTGAATGATCAAGGTCTTGGATTATGTAACTGGGCTGTACTAATGGTGATGATGTTAATGCGGATGAGTGGACTGTCTTGTTATGCCAAAAAGAGCACTAGAACTTTTCCGAAGATATCGTTTCATCAAACGCCTTGACAGATCTGGCGGTATTTTTGACCTGGATCGTAACTCCTAATTCCTCTCCATACGTAAATCTAACTCGTCTCTTTGTTCGCGTGAGGGAGATAGTTATGGAGAACTGATGATGTTGTTTGTATTGCAGTATATAGTGATATTCACACATTGATGACATAGAGAGTGAATTTTATTTCGACTTTTATTATTTTTTGATTCTGTTTGAATTACTTTTTTATTGTTTTGAGAATTTGAGGGAGAAAAATCATTTAAAACGGTGAATGTGACCAGATACCCTATGCCCCACAGAATCTCACGATCAACATACGTTCTGAGAGGCAGAATTAAATGTAGCAAAAATACGGGAATACAGTGAATTGGCCAGAGACAGGCTGTGATATAGCGAGAGATAACTGTCTATTGAGAATTTCGTATTGATTCTGTCCACGTGGGCTACGCAATTTTAACTGATGATAAAATTGATCAATAAATGATAATGACATGCTTCATGTAATTGAATAATCACCAAGTGAATTAGATAAGTGAATTATTTATTTATAGCACATAGTCGGTTGGCAGGCTGATGAGCACGTAAGGACCTATGCGTACTAGAAACAGTCTGGTAAAAATGTGGATTCATAAGCATGCGGAGGTGGAACGCGTACATCGAGATCTATTCAACAAGACAAGTCAAGGTCATCTCATTATTCATTTTACGACATCATTTGTGTCTGTGTGTGTGTGTTTATATTCACTCTCTCTCTGTCAAATGATCGACAATCAGCATTTGTCCGATGGCACATATGGGTGCGGTTGTGCGTGTATGCACGTGATAATAGGAATTCGTTCGACACAACAAGTATTATGCATTCAAAACAGCCGATATTATAATTGGTTTATCTACGGGACAAAAAAAGAAATCAAGGTGTTTTTCATTGATCTTATTGTGTGTATGTGTGTGGCTTTCAATCCTTTGCAGGGAGTAGATTAGCATTCCTTCCTCACAATTTGCTTTTTGGCAAGATCGTGTCCCGTGACCGACTAAAGATTTCATTTTAACGAACTACGGGGAAACCTATTCAGTCGTGTATTGAAACTTATGATCAACTGGTACATATCGCTTCGAGATAAGGGCTTTCACTCTCAATTTTGAGCTTCATGTTTCGAGTCTCGAGAGGGACAGAGCAATTACGCGCAGTGCTGACGAGGTTCACAAGACTGTCAAGCGCTCTTTGCTGGGCATTGGACAATTTCCTCAACAACTGGGATAGGAATTCGTTTCTTAGAAGAAATGTCTGTTCAAACACACGGGAAGAATAAAAAATGCCCCAATTCAATAATAATTTGTTAGATTTTACAAGATAATCAATAAAAATAGAATCACGTTTTCTGTTAAACTAAACTGTAGTAGTCCCGCTTAACAAGCCAAAATTGACACATTTTTTTCAAATTGTGAATGATTTGGTTAACCATGCTACAGACGCGCATGACTTGATCCGGACTACGATATGTGCTACACATTTCACCAAATAAATGAGGCTCACTGTAGGATATTTTTCTCGATAGGCAGTGTTGGGAAGAAGGTCAAAGATGATCCAAATGAAATCTGACATGAGGGTTTGGAAAACCCGGACTGGGGGAATTAGACGTGAATATCGCAGTAAGGCTCTACAATTGGATAACCCGGGATCAGCTTACTACTATACCTGGTCAGAGATACCTAGCGACATAAATGAATGTGTGGACTGGTGGCGCTCATGCATCTTGCTCTACATCCGTGGTCTATCTGATTCCCCCAAGCTTGCATTGGCTCCGTTTCCAAAATTCCAGTCCTCCCTAAGCACATTTATCCAAATAGTTGACCAATAGACATCAACCGAAACTGTCCCATTAATGTGCATGGTTGATGTGTTTTGGACAGATATTGGCCATGCAACTATGTTTTTCTAGTTTCGTACCAGACAAGTCACCTGGATATGTCAGATTATGCACCAATACCTATGTATCAAGTGGTTTCTTCAAAAGTCAAGCACATCATAGTGTACCAACCAATGCCTGTTTCATAAATACATCCGTTCAAAACTGTGCCATCATCACGGACACAATATTATCATGGTAAAACGAAAGATAGTGAAGCTAACTTGACCGATCTCTGCCAAGTGCACAATGCATAAAAGAGTGAGTGAGATTGTACAACACGAACATGGATTAGACTTACTCGGAGAGAGAGAGAGACAAATAAAGTAAATTCCTAGGCGGAAAATACGAAGTAGACACACTCGGCGACGACTTTACACGCATTATGACCTAAATTAGAATTAAAAACAAGAACACCACTATGTCTTCAACAAACCGGCGTTGCCTATCTGGTCCAACAACTTTGGATGTCAGCTGATACAGAAGCTAATTCAATTTCATTCCCTATTGCACATCTAATTCGATTTCACTGTTGCTCTGTAGTACGTCACGTCCCGGCGCTCCTGTCTCAGCTTCTCGTCATAACGTGGACAGACAAATAGATCGCGCAGACGATGATGAGCTAAATGAGGAAGCAACTTTTGCTGATCACCGACGAATCGAAATGCGAGGCGCATGGGAACCAGGGCGTGATCCGACTCAACGCACTCGGTCTAATAAGATCTACCAATTTGCATTGAACCACGCCAATGGTGGCTTACAGTTGTGGCAAATTTGGTTCAACTTGTCTGTTAAACTAGAACTCCGGGTTCATTTCGGATAGGAACTGTGGAAATTCGGTGCTAGATAAAAGCAATTAATGAGCTGCACAGAGCTGCATATTTCGATGAGCACTGTTTGTTCGCCGGGCGAGCAGAGCCAAATGCTCCGTCCTAGATAGACTTCGAATGCGCTCAGTTTTACTACCTACCAGCACTACAATATCACAGCTGCAGCTCAGCCAAATCTGTGTGGTCAGCTTGTGGCTAATTCCGTGACTTTGCGTATTGTGACATCAGTTGGTTGATGGACATGCAGAAATGATGAACAAGCACCACTTGGTATTGCTCCACTTTCAAAGACCCAACTGAAGACTATCCAATTAGTGAGTATCTAATCTAGCATCAAAGCCACAGCTTTACTTACTCCACGCGGACCCATAGGGAAGGTTTTAGTGTCCCAGGATGTGTGGAGGAAATATCTTAAGGCCAGACTCGGCACACGTACGTGGCTTATACTACTAGTGTTATGAGATACTACGCAATTGTGAGTAGTAGATGATCCAGTTGTTGATTTATTTCAACCAATAAAAATCAACAAGATCACAGAGGGCAAATTGCTGGATCTCAAAGAATAAATATGGGTTGCTACAGTCAGTACCCGTTGTGCGGCCAGGAACTGCGATGGTATGTTTCTGATGAGATTTCTGTGTTATGTATAATCCAAATTAGTAATGTCCCATCTGTAATACTTAATGAACAACTATCCTCCACAGGGCAGTATTTTATCGGTTTTCTCTCTTCAGTGAAGTTTACATGATGTATTTACTGTTTATGAACTGGTCGTGAGGCTAGTCCGTGTGTTGTTTCGAGAGTATAGTGGAGCATCGTCCATGGTGGTAAAATAGGTTGGACTGCTTAAACATGTTTTTGGATCGTTTGAGACGGCTCTGTTTCCACGTCTGTTAGCCACATATATCCGTCCATACACCGAGTACTCAATTCAGCCCTAGAACCAATGACTACAGCGCGATCAGAAGGCGCTCAAACATCCACTGAGAATGGCTATCAAGATGGTCAAAGGTCTACATTCAAAGACCAATGGCTAAAGATTACAGCCATTCGGGCTACACTCGTTTCAATATCGTCAAATCGGAGGTGACATGATGCCACTGTATCAGATTTTCCAATAACCCAACCATCCATGTAAATCCCTTTCAGTTTGTCAACCAATGTTCATCACAGTGGGTATCCACTGAAGTCGGCAATCAAAATGAGCCGTTTCGACTGCAGACGCCATTCGTTTGCAGACAGAGTGTGCAGCACATGGAACTCTCTACCACTTCACGTGGTCTGTGCTCCAACAGTAGTATCTTTCAAGCATTAGCTTAATGATGTTCTGGCAAGCATTATTATTCCACACCCAACCACATAATATATTCTCCTGTAATCATTAAAACATTAAATCACTCTTTTACGTACATGGACCAACCGTGTACTTGTGAATCATGTTCCAAACCCAAAGTGTAAGCACCCTATTGGATTTCATAAGCGAAGAATTTGTAAGTTTTTCCCATAATAATTTGATTTTTAATTTGCTTAGTAATTACAGTAATTACCTAGCAACATGTGCAGAAATAATCAACTCGAACTGAGATGGATCAATCCCTACTATGGCTATGTAGCAATTATCAAGACGTGTTTTCTTTTCGCCTCTTCGCCGTCCACATGTCCCGGGTGAACAGTTTTCCAAACACGTAATTTCTCGTCTGACCTGATAAGATCCCGATACGCCCTTAAGGGATATGGACCAGGGCTGTATGCATAATGGCAGGTCATTCGCATTATTGCCTTGTTCCAAAAACGTTTGCTAAAGTCTGTCGAACTGATCGACATTGGCAATTTCCGTCTTGAGGGTGTTTAAGCGATAGCACTTTT